ATTTCACTCACCTGTACTATGGGTATGACAAAAGACAGGGTTTTACCACTGCCAGTCGGTGCCGAGACGCAGATGTCTTTGGGGCGGTATCCTCCCTGCCCCATCAAGTACCCATTGGATGCACTCTGCAGAACAACACCTCTGCCTGAACTGAAAAACAGAAACAAGCATTAACTAGAGTTAACTGGGCTAAAACCAGTGTAACCAGAAAAGCAGTTCTAACAGATTTCAATTACTCACCGTAGATAAAGATTTGAAAGTGAAGGGTTAAAACTGGTACGATCACTTTGATGCATTAAGTTTGTTTTTGTTCTATATTTTACTTCACTGACTACATAAAATATACAGCAACAGACCACAGAAGCCACATAAGTCAATTCAGAAAGACACAAACGCACTATCAAGGTACCTGGAAAAAACGACTCTATCCCATTCATTTGCAGCTTTTTCAACAACCTGGGATGAATTCCCGGGACATCTCTGATTGGAACTAGATTATCTTTGATACGTTTTTGCACTAGTTTGGGTTGAGCAAGCCACTGCGGTAAGAAGGGCTGAACCTGAGGTGGGGGAAAGGAGAAACGCTTTCAAACAAGCAATGCCATGCATAAAATAAACTGGTAAGATGCATGTTCCTTCCTGACCATCATCAAAATTCAGTCAAGCTACCTACCTTCTGCACTGGCCTTCTGTCGTAATCTGCAAGAACCACCAAACTGGAGGGTGGAGGATTTGCCTCTTCCGCTGAGGCTGCCAAGGACAGCTCCTCCTTTGTGCTTTCATTTCCTTCAGCTCTTTCACTGTTCTCTTTATTCCTTGTTTCAGCTCCCTCTGTTTCCTCATCCCTCTTCTTCCTTTTAGAAGACTTATTTTTAAGGTTGCTTCTGTTTTCCTGTCGTTTGATGTCTTCTTCAGAATCTGGAATTAGGATAACAGGAATACAAAGCTACAGGTCAGAACATGCTACAGAAAAGAGATGTAGGGAACATTATCCAACAGCTTTCAAGCTCCTCTTTCTTCCTAAATCCAAGCACAAAAGTCAAACATTCCTTCGTTGGTATGGAAGCGACTTAAGACTGAGGTGACATGCTTCCTTCCTTACCTTACACTAAACTAACCCTCAAAGTTTACAGTATGTGGCTTTCCCCCAAAAAAGGAATTACTTTGGGAACGTATTAAGCAGAGGAAAACAAAGTTTACCATGGGCTAAAATCAGCAAGTGACTCAAAGGGCAACTTGTGTCAACTTCTCTGTTGAGAACTGTTGACCACAATGAACTGAAATCCTACGGCCTCAGTTTATTGTTACCTGCTTCAGTCCTCTCTTGTGGCACCTTCGATTTTCTTCTGTTTTCCGTCTTCTTCTTCTTCTTCAAGGGAGTGCTGCCATCTGCTGCCTCCTCAGTATCCGCCCTTTCTTCAGAAGAGCTGCGAGACCGTTGTTTCTTCTTTAGCTTCTCCTGTCCTTGCGCACAGGACTGCTCTTCACCCTCTCTCTTCCTTTTTCCTCTCCCTTCCCCAGGTTCACCCCCTGGGCCGGCTCCTCCGGGGATCTCGCCTTCCCCTCCCTCGGGCTGCGCCTCCCGCTGCTTCTTCAGCTGCCGGG